ACCAGGGACACGTGAACTGTCGTTCACTTAGAATTTGTATACTCTTGGAAGCCTACTTCCTCAGCGCAAGGTGCTGTGTGACCCCGTCACAGTTGCTGTATTTCGTGTTGTAGTGTCGTATTTAAGGTGCTGTAATGCCATTCGTCCCCGAGAGGGGCTCTGTTACGTGGACAGGGTCAGAATTGAGTATTGGCATCGCATAAATGGGCGAAAATAGCATATTTGTCCAATCATATGCCTGATTAGCGTCTCTATCAGGGACTTTACGCTCCCGGTCTCGAAGGGTTAAAGAAGCTCGTGGCTGAAATTACGCGCACTCACGACGAAGAAAATGGAGTGATTGCAGCGTAGTCCTCTCGTCCGAAGTAAATCTACATTTCGCTGAAGACTTGCCGCATCATCAAAGATGTTCTACCCGTTTCGTTCGGTGAATGCGTTTGTTCTCTGACAATTCGTGATTTTACAAAAGTGCCATGAAAGCCACCCCCAGTACCAATGCACAATCCAGCCTGCACTAATCGAGTTGTCATTGATGTCTATAAGAAGAGGAAAAGTTCGTGATTCTGGCGTTTTTAACACTGCTTTCGATAAGTCCTTTTTTGGCATACAAAGCAAAAACTACAAACCTCTGGGTATTTTGCCCCACATTTTTATAAGTAAAAAGTCTATTCTTCTTGGCTGGAGACATGATTGAGAATACCGACAATTACTAGTCATAAGGGCTACCCCAAATGCATATGGGGGTAGGGGTTTGAAGGTGTCTAGTCGCGCCAAAATGAGTCGTTCTTAGCTAAGGTGATACTGTATTTCTCTTTCAGTCTCGGCTGCGTGACATCACTACGAGAGCGCCACAAGGAAAAGCACCACCCACCTTTCTAGCCCAAGATATTAGTCTAGAGCGCTAGCCTGATCAAATGCCTATCTTGGACATGCATATACATTTCTCAGGGCAGAACTGCTCTTCTTTCTACCCTTCCGGATTGCCTCCGCACGGTGGCAAGCACCTCCGTTTCTCCTCGACTCCACGCATTTTGAAAAGTGTCGGTGAGCCAGTCAAATTCTTTTTGTACTTCAAAAGCGTGGTGGCCCTTATGGCAAGAAAAAACATCGCTGCAACAATTCCAGTATTATTATGGACCAAAGATGATTTTCACTTATGACAAGGAGTGCCCTTATGACTAGTAAATGTAGGTACACCAAAAACAGTCGATATTACCGAAGTGCTTTCGGGAGGTCGATAATCGGATGCCGTTGAAGGTTTTTTATTGTGAACTAGCCCAAATTGCATCCGAGAACCGAGCAGAGAATAATTTCCAGTAGCCAATCAACAAGATTAACTTGGAGCTGGCTCCTTTTAAAGAGGGCCAATATTTTAGAGGAGCTAGGCTCTCGAAGATATCGGGCTCCCTACCAAATCGCGAGCTCAGGCTCCGGCTCGGCCCCTCCCATGGTAACCTAGTATGTCTCCGCAAACGCAAGAATCCCCTTCTGCAATAGCTCTAGCAAAAGATGGTAGCGAACCGGTCGCGATAGTATTGAGCTGCTGAATAGTGCCTCATCGACCAGCTTTTTTGTGCTTTTAGGACGCCCGGCCTTCCTTACAGTTGTAGATGTCCTCCACCACTGTGGAATGCAGTTCTTAGGGCTACCGTCAGCACCATATTCGTCTCCATTATCAAGTTCATTTTCATTTGATTTGCGGTTGTCTTCAATTTTCCTTGTATCTCCTTGCGTTCATTAGCTCCCTCGTGAACAAACTCAGAGCCGTTCGCAGTTGCCGACTCTCGACCAACCTCCACCTTCAGGGCCCGACATTTCATTTGTCTGGTTCTGGTCCCATTGAGACGAGAGAATGCTCGCGTCCACGTCATCCACGAGAGATTGTTGTGAATCAGTAGCTAAGCGTATTGTAATTTGATATTTGTATCAGTTGCTTAGAGTGAAGCCTTGATGGTCTATTGACATGCGTTGTGGAAAGCGACCGTTTATTCAGGATGTGATGAACAGCTTGCCTAGACCACAGAGTTGTGCTTAGTGATGGTTTTGGATTGGGTGAATAAATAATGTCTGAACTACCTGAAATGTTTTAAACAGTTCAGAAATGTCTAAAACGTCCAAAAGTGTCCAAAAGCCGTGTATAATGTATTCAAGCCTTGAACTTCAAGGAGGCCCGCGATCCTCCTGCGCGGTTTTCATTGTCATTGAGAGTACTGCGAGCACCATGAACCAAAGCCGTACGCCTACATGCACGCAGTTGACGTCACCACAACGAGGCCATGGCGAGCCAACGTGGGTGAACGTATCCTACGATCGCCACCTGGCCCACCTCAACAGCGGTCTCTTCGATACAGCCTATATCATGCTGGTGTTCTGTTATCTAGCCCATCTGAACTGCCTGCACAGACACCAGTAGCTACACAAGACGGATGGTGTTCTCCCCAAACACACGTTCGTGGATCCCCAGTGCTGCCCCGAAGGCCACGATCATCGCCTCTAAAAACCGGCCGCCCACGCGACGAGATCTGGCAACACTATTTCATCGAGCGCGAAGGCAGCAAGAAACACGGACGATGCAAATACTGCGGCACGTTAAAAAAGGAACGGAAAACCTAGCGGAAATTTACTAACGCACTTGGTACACCGGAATCAGTGTCCAAGCGTCCCAAGAGAGGTGCAAGTCTCTCTAAGGCCTCCTCCAGCCCCTGAACTGGAACTCGAACCCGAACAAGTTACTGATACCGTCCACAGCGAGTTAACTCAAGCTGCATTTGAAATGGCGCTGGTGAAACTGTTTTTTGTGCGCGCCCTACCATTCGTGCTCGTTGAGGCGCAAGTATTTCGCGAATTTATTGCTTTGGTGGCTCCGTTGATGACGATATACGCTAAACGAGGTGTTGCTAAAGCGAGTGACTAATGAGATTCGTTCGAGTGTCGTTAAGCTTATTAATCAGCAGACCTACGTGTCACTCGTCACTGATGGCTGGAGCGACACCAACAGCTCCAGCATCATCAACTTCATGGTTGTGGCACCCGGAATGCCGTCGGTATTCTGGTCGTCGTAGTCGACGCGGTTAGACAAGCACACGGCAGCTTATCTAGCCGGAGAAATCGAGAAGGTTATCTCCGAGATCGAAAGAGAGAAACAGCACAAGTGATTGCTGTAATCACTGATAATGCAAAGAATATGAGGAGCGCATCGGGCCGTATCGAAGTTCGAAGACCAAATGTAGTCAGCGGTGAATGCTCCGCACATGTCCTCAACCTCCTGATGCACGGCGTGCACCGGTTACCTGCAGTTCGATCAATCCAGACAAGAACTGTTGCCATCGCGCGTTTTGTGAAAGACCACCTAGCACTGCTAGCGGAGTTTAAACGGCTGCAACAGGGTATGCGGGGCATTGGTTTTAGGGCTAGAAATTTTGTGCTGCCGGTGCCAAGGAGATGGTATTCAGTGTATGCCTGTATGCAAACTGTTCTGAACAGTCAGGACATTCTTGAGAAGCTATTTTTGAGTGCAGATTACGAGCCCTGATCGCTATCGTGGAACAGCGACGAGTCGAAAAAAACTTCGCTATATTACTGAGCTGGTACGCAACGATGGGCTTTGGTGCAACTTGAGAACGATTGTGCAACTCTTAGAACCTAATAAAACAGCTTTACGAGCGTTAGAAGCTGATAATGTCTTCGTATCGGCGGTCTATCGGTGGTTCAGATGGCTTTGGTATCACCCTGCGTATGGAATCACCTCACCTGACGAGGAAGCCCGGCATTGCGAGCTGGTGGAGTCACACGACAGCGCTGAAGAGCAAGAACCTGGTGGACAAGCTCAAGGAGGAATTGAACTTCTTGGCAGCACAGCGGAGCAAGTAACCTCCGCCACAACCATTGATGAACCTCCAGCAGCTGACGAAACCCCGATCTCCGTAGGTGAACATGAAAAAATGACAGCATTTCAACTTGACGAGCTGCAAGCCTGTTTCCGCAAACAGAATAAGCTGCACGGGTTCTGCGTTCACACAAACGCGATGGGCATCGCGTTCATGCTTGATCCATCTATGGTTCTTGATGCCTTTGTTGGCGCTGACGATGGTACAGTAGACGACCAACTCTGTAAAATGGCGAAGCGTTGCGGTATCCTCACTCCAACCACTGGTATACCCAAGTTGACAGCAGAAATGCTTGCATTTAAAAGTGAAAAGCGGCGTGGAGGCGAAGAGCAGAGTAATAAGTATTCGGAATCAAGTCCTCATGAATACTGGAGTGCCAAGAGTAACCAGAAATATCCGCTGCTGAGAAGATTGCCAAAATTGTATTCGCAATCCCCACTTCATCAGCCGCGAGCGAGGGAGCGTGGAGCATCTTCGACCACATTCCTTCAAGCGAAGGAATAGACTGTCCGTTGCTAAGGTTGAGATGTTGGCATACATCTACATAAACCACGGTACAATTCAGTGTGATACAGTCGACCTTGCGCGTCATCAGTCACATCCAGAAAGCATTGAAATTGATACTGAATCAACTTGAATTAACGCACGTCTTCTTCTATAACTAGTTGTGCAGCGCTTCCCAACGTGTATAGATCCTGTAATTGCCTTCTTCACCAAACTACAGCAACCGCCCCGCCTTCACGTCTGTGCCAAGGTGATCACCGAGTCGATAGTTAGGCACACATAGAGAAGCACGCCGGACACGTGAAAACTATGAAAACAGTAACCGCAGGCGGCAAATGAAGCATGGGCCGGAGAAGCTGATGCACGCTGCATGGGCTATCAGCAATTGCAACCGGAGAGATACTTCCTCAACATCCAGACCAGACATTACGTTAACCTTTGATACTGCACGCATAGTTCTAGCGTATCCACAGCTTTGACAGCAACCGAAAAGGCCCCCACTTCCACCGAAGTTAACACTACAGCAACCACTGCGAAGTTGAATAGCTGCTGCCGTTTGTCACTACCGCCCGTATGTGGTTCGTAGGATAATATAGGTACAGTTACCACGAGCTCAAACACAGCGTCAAAACTACCACCTACTTGCATATCATCCATAGTACCACCAACACCGAAAGGCTGTTAACGTACGGTTAAATTTCGTAACAGCACGTTTGCGCTGCCAGCATTGTCAATTCCATTATAGCAGAGGGACTGATCTCCGAGGCATTTCGCAGTGGTTCGAATGGTAGAACTTACAACTGCCGATTTGGTGTGTTCGATGACCAATGAAATGCGGCTGGTGCATTCATTTCGTGATTGGTGACGGCACAGTCCAGCTTAATCCAGCAAAACGCGTAGTAATTCACCAGCTTTATCATCTTTCTTTCAAAACTCCACAAAGATATTAAAAGCAATATGAAGACCAGTTCACAATTGCTAGTGTTTTCCAGTTTCAAGCTTTTTTTTTCGCGGCCTCTTAGTGAAGGTTAACCCCGAATAGAGTTGTCGGTGCTTACTACAAGCATTACTTGTTTCATTTTCAGCCATACGTCCACCAAGAGCAGCACGAAAAAGGAGAATTGCACTATAATGACGTCGATATGTCTTTGAAGCACCTGACATGTATATCTAACTACAGGCTCCTCCACGTCACACCGCAGACGATCTAAGCCACCACAATTTCCAACGGTCACACAACGATTACTGGTTGACAACGCACCCAATTTAATTTTTGAGATAAACAGCATTTAAGTCTTAACCCGCCCATAAAGACCCACATCTGCAACTCCACCACAAGCGCTTGCACAAAACTAGGCAACTCCTGCAGTTCAGAGCCCAGAATTATCGTGACAGCTCTCCATCGCCCCCCAAAAGCCACTCAAACGAAAACAGGACAGCCAACACGTTCGAGCAGCTAGCCAGGCACGGTAACGGGGTTTTCCAGCACTTGGCATTATCTTGACGCTGCAACTGCGGTCACAGACTTTGCCGATCCCAAGGTCCTTACAAGCCCAACGTATGTATTATCGAGAGCCGTAGAGCGCGAAACTGTAGTGTAATTATCTTCGACAGTAGGGTTGGATATCAGCTCTAATATTGGTAGCCCAAACGTCTTGCGAGTCACCACGATTGCAGATACGAGGTTCACCCGGTTCACCATCGCTTGTCACTTCACGGGTAGATGCACGTTGCATGACATAGTGAGAAGGTGCAGACGTTTACGCCTCTGTCGACCATGTTACGCCGGTGTTGGCGCCGGCTGTCACCGCATTGTAGCCGCTGGCGCGGTAGCCCAAAACGTCCAAAAGTGCCTAAAAGTCTGTGGTCCCACCCTGGACCCTCCGCTTAGAATATTCTATTCGACAGTTTGGAATACTTTTGGATTTCGGACGAATTTTGCACGTTTTCTCAAAGTGTTTTGCACTATTCTGAACTAGTCCAAAACCATCCCTAGTTGTGCTGTTACTTTCATGTGGACCTATTTGACAAGGGACTACGCGTGTGTGCGTGGAGAGCGCTGTAGAAATGACTGTGTTATCGCAGTTGATGCGCGAGGCGGGGGGAAGCCCAGGCCCCACACCTTGGTAGATAGTAAACAGAGCGAGGCAACTCTACATAATGTTCATCATACGAGAAACTCGATGTGACAAGAGATATTAAAGAAATCATCGGTCACCATCATCATCAACCACGAGAATAATTAGTTGAACAACCACCCGTCATGATCGTTGCGTGTAGGACCCACTATCTTCAGACGCGTCCTGTTGCAAAGCCAAACGTCGCGATTTAGTTTCGCATCACTAATCTACGAATTCCCTTCTTATGTGGTAGTTTACGCGAAAGGATTCCATGTTTATTGACAGAAAAGAAGAAGATTGGGTATATTCAAACAACATACACGTTGTAAACAGATAGTTTTGCAATTCTTTTATTGGATCCACATTTTAAATATGCCCGTGATTGGTTGTGTGAATGGTGAGTGAGGGTGAATGAGTGGATACGTGAGTGGCTGAGCGAAGGCTGACCGCCGTGTGTATGAGCGTATAAATGCGTTTCTGAGTTTATATATGTGCATTGATTGAATTAATGGACAAATACGTTGTTAGGAGTATCTCAACACGATGCCGCTCCTCGTACCGGACAAGTGAAGGTCATTCTGCCGCGCGTCCTTACAAAAGACTGAAAAATCGGGAATGAAACTTCTGATTTAGCAGTGGAGTAAGCGAGAAAGTGAGTTGATGAGTAAGTGCGTGAGTTGGTGAGTGAGTGTTGGTGAGTAAATGCGTGAGTTGGTAAGTGAGTAAGTGAGTGAGTGAGTGAGAGAGACCGGGTTGGTCTATTCAATTTTTATCGAGATTATGGAGGCGAAAGGTCAGTAGAATTGGAGAAGGACATGCGTCAGTATTTCAAAGGGCTTAACTGCAAAATAACAAGCGCTGCACGTGGCTAGGCAAGCCTGAAGATAGGCAAAGACCCTCTATCATTTGAATTGTATTCTTTTTGCGTGAAACCTCGCAAAGCAGCCATGCAAGGACATGATATTCTCACGGACGTATATGATTATTGCGTGAAACCTCATGTACCGATCGGTGAACACGTTTGGGATACGTCACGTTCATATGGAGTGGACTGGATACTCGTTATGTGGGTATTTTTGCCATCAGAAGAATGACCAAAAAGGTAGTCGAACCTTGCAACCCAGGCACATATACGCCAATCCCCTGAAGCCAGCAATACGTCTGATGCTAGCTCTAGTTCTGTTTCTGGCAACTTCACCATTTGACGGTGCAGACCGCTGCTTTTCTGGCGGTAATTAGTATGAGAGGTTCCGCATATGTCCGCAATGGCACTTAGAGAGTGATGAAGCAGCTACCGAACTGCGAAGACATGACATTGATCACGATGATCTCGGAACGCACTCCATGCGGAAGGGCGCCGCTACATTTTGCGCGTCAGGGTCCACGTCTTGTCCATCTTCAACAGCAGTTCATCTTCGAGCTGAATAGTCTGTATGTAGGTGGAGTGCAGAATACATATCTGCGGTACGAAGCCGCCGGTGACATGCACGTTGGCAGGACAGTATCAGGGCTTCCTCCCGACAGCCATGAATTTGCTATTTTGCCCCCGCATTTTGACATTCGTGATAGTGTCGTCGAGAAAGCAATTGCGTGTGTATTTCCAGCGCTATCTGAACATCTAACGTACGTCGGTGATTCTGCTTAGCGTCACTTGTCTACCACGCATCGTATTTACGGGAGCGGATTAACGCAAAGCATCCGCTATTTGAGTCTCTACTATTTCAGCACAACACTCTAATTCACGACCTATCGAGTAAAACTTACTGCGGTCTCAGTAGTGGTGACTGTCGTCTGGGAGTACCAATACACGTTGCGGTTTTGGTGAGGGTTTTGTTGGATGCTTACGTCAGAACAGTCGAGTACATCGACGCAGTACAAAAGGCAACAGTGAGGGAAATAATGGCCGAGCTTGAGCGACGTGCAATTGGTGCTGGTGTGGTGAAGTGACAGTTGGCTTCTGGGGACAAGGGACTGATTGATGGAATGTGACCCGATCCAGTTCGGAGACTCGTGGTCGACGAAGGCGCGTCAGTGATTACGTCATCATCTGTGAAGATTACGTAATTATCGGAGTGGATTGACATGGTGCAATCATTTGGACACGCGATCTACCCTCAAGGATTCGATCTACTGTGGACACATCAACT